GTCAGACAGTGAATACTTTAGAGCCGTGTGAGCTAACCCGGAGCTAACGGGAGAATACACTCCCGTTGAAGAGCAGCCAGCACTGCAGCGGTCGGTAAATGCTGAAACACATTAATAAACAATGAACCACGGCACTCTGGAGAAAAGTATAAGGTTGGAGAAGTCGTTATTTAATTTAATCTGGCTTCGTATGATTAAAAGCAACACGATCGTCGACCCGACGCAGTCCCCCCCCCCGTTGTTGTGGGAGAAAATCTCTCGGCAGCTCTGGGCAGTGTGAACAGAGCGGGAGCTGAAAAGGGAAACGGGAGCTGAACCAGAAAAGCTCTCGCTAGGAGCTAGAAAGGGAAAAGCGCTGGTGTGAAAGCCGCATCAGTGAGCTTTTACTGCTGTACTCAGCATTTTAGAGATGGTCTAAACACATCACTATAAACATTATGTATCTCTCAGAGCAAGGTTGGGTAGCTTAAATATAAACGTTTTCCATTGCAACTTCCTGTAAGGCCAGGAGAACCTTTCATTTCCTGCACCGTTTCCTTTCTCTTTCAGTCAAAGGAAATTGAGGCTGACAAGCATGGCCCAAAACATTTCCATTAGGAGAAACAATGCAAATGTAAGGTTAATAAAGTTGTCCAAACATAACCATAACTGTGGCAGGACAGAACATGTTCACTCTGATTAACACTCTGAATAACACCATTTGTGCAGTGGTTTTATCAAAAGTGATTTACTAGTCACTGACAAACAATGTTGTCCTATAAAGGAGCCATCAGAAAACACTTATATTTGTTGATTTGCAAGACAATAACAAACCAATTCTGTTGTTTGGGTTGGAAGTACAAAAGTTGACCTCCATATTGATAGGTCACAGAAACGTGGATATTTGCAAGTAGCTGAACAAATCAGAAAGTGGCATGACTCATTCACAGCAGGCTCTTACTTTTCTATAAACAGGTTTATGGCAGGACAGAAGGCACAAGACAAATTCAGAGAAGAGCCTGGACTTCTCCAGAACTGCACAGTTTATACATTTAAAAAAGGATTTTGTTTTTATAAAGATGTACTGCAAGTTATGCAAAACAGCTTGATGGTTTGCTGCAGCCATGGGTTTAAAAACACTTCTATGGACCGTTTCCCAGAATGGTTCATGAGTAATACGAGGACAGAGTCACATTCCACTTTCTCTTTTTGGCAAAGTAAAAGATCATTCAGAGATTTATTGACTTCGTAGAAAAGACTTCTCCCCTAAAAAGGAAACTAAAATATCTGTGTTGAAGTTAAGCTGGGCTAGACCAAAGGAAGTTCCACTTAGTTTTACCGTCAGAAACGTGACATGATGAACAACAACATGTTCATGTTATGCAGGATGTAATCATTAAATGTCAGTTTTGACTTTAAAAAACAAAAGACAACATTTTATTAATAATAAGGTATCAAGGAAAATAAATGTAATCAAATTAATGAAATAAAGCTGCATTTCTTAATTTGTTGGCTACTTAGGGGCAGCACAGCACACTGCAAATACAACAGGGACATTTTCTGTTCATGCAGTTGACATGGCTAACATGTTAACAAACACTTCAAACCAAACGTTACCAATTTGTATTGTTATTTTAATGATTATTATTCAATTTGTTTTATATTGTTTCAATCATTTATTTAATTTATTACAAATATAGTTTTAAATGTTGTCTTTATTTTATTAATTTTTCCCTATGTCTTCATTTGTTTTCCTGAAATGGTAATTTGTTGTGAACTTTTGGATCATTATTATTGTATACCTTTTTCCTTGTGTTCCTTGAATTGTTATTTTGTGTTTATATGCTTCATGTCTGCAAAAAAAGGTTTTAAACGTTCGTCCTGCAAAGGTTGTCAGAAAAAAAATGTTGTGTGTAAAATTAAACATTTGTGCTGAAATATTATTTCAGGTGAACTGATATTGTGCAGGGCAAAGATTTTTACGAGCTGTAAAAAGGAAAAAAAAAAAAAAAAATTCACAAAGACTATAAGTGACTCAACAGTGTTCCAGTATGTTGGCCATTAAGGTTCAGATTATTTATCCTCAAACATTTACAATGTGAAAGCTTTTCTGTTTTCTACCTCTATATAGAGTGGTGCAGTGACGACTCCTAAAACCCGGAAGTGAGTTAGCATTTTTCCACTACCGGTTCCCTCGTCTCAGAGTCAATGAGATTTCTCCATAGGATTTAGGAAAATAGCTGGAAATAAGGTCTGTGGTTGACACAAATTTAAGAGACGGATCACGTTTTGTTCTACGACATTAAATACATCAGCAGTGACCCCACTGGTGATTTTTGAAGAGTTTACGTTGGTTGTTAACAAGTGGCTGAATAGGACTACAGAAGTTGTGGAGGGCGTTGTACGTCATTACACCGAACACGTAAACACTCCCGCTAAGTTTGTTTTCCCTGTTCTGCTTGAAAGCAAGTACCTGCGCTCTTGCAAACTGTTCAAACAAACGCTTCAACTTGTACAATTTTGAATCTGTATTTTTTAATATCGATCTTAAGTTGGCGTGACGTTGAACCCTGCTGTAGTTCGTTTATAGCATAACATTAGCATTTTGCTTCTGGCGATTAGATTTATGATTCGAAAATTATAAAAGTAGGGTAGACATGTGGATATTATCCGGCTGAACAAAACGTGCATTTATCAAACAGGTTCGTTTTCCACAGATCTTATTTCGAGCTATTTTCCAAAATCCTATGGAGAAATCCCATTGCTTTTTTTGTCGTGGGAACCCATGCGCAGCTTATTTCCGGGTACATACGTCATCCCTGCATTTTAGTCTTTCTTAAAATGTAGCAACAGCTGACTGTCCACTGTGTACATATATGCTGCCTACAGTATAAACATGCATGGTACATGTATGACACAAACACTCCAACAGAGGCTACTGCAAATTTAAACTGGGAGTCAGCAAGTTTTGTTTACTGTGAAAAGCCAAGAGGATCTCTGCTCCCCTGTAAGAAAAGAAAAAAACATCTTCATTGTTGAGTTGTAGTTTGATCAGATATGAGTCAGTGTTGGTAAGAATTACCACATATGTTCAAATATGAAAAGACACGTTTCCATTCCTTGTTTTGTTTTGGCTACGTGAGAGATCTCCAACTTATGACACCTATGACTCAGTAGCTGACAATGCTCTCTGTCAATAACAGTCATGTTTCAGTCACAACTGCGTCTGCAGTTTAAACCGATGTTCAAATGTTTATGCAGACCATGTACACATACTCCTTATCAGTCATAATAACAGGAAATGTGGGAATGGGAAAATTCATGCAAATCCTAAGATACAAATAATTCCGGCTAGTCCTTAAAAAGTCAATTTAGAATGTTTCAAATAGTTTCAAACTCCAGCTTTTATTTGGTTAGTGCTCAACAAAAATGTCAAGTAAAATGTCAAAGAATAATGTTCCATTGCCCACACCACCGGCTCCAGTTGGGCACTACCCCCTTTCCCTGCATCCTCCAACCTGTCCTGGGATGGTACCTCCTCCTGTTAGAAATGTAAACCACAAAATGTCCCAAGTGCTCCGAGTTCTCAGATCGGTAGCACTGCTAACTGAGCTAACAGCTAACTAGGTAACTAGCTGTTAGCTTTATTTTAGCAACAAGAAAAGTTTTCTGACCATCAAAAGACTGTGTAAATCAGTTGGGGCAGAGGTGCTGGAGGACAAAGAGGAAAAAACCTGAGAACTTTTAAAATATAATATGATCATCAAAACAAACTAAGAGCTGCAAAGCCTTACGCACAGTTCCAGGTATACGAGCTGCTCATCAAAGTTACACAGTGCAGGAAAGGCTCAGAGTGGGACTGGCAGAAACACCACCGTCCCTATTAGTCAGCCTCAGAACTGTTTTATGGCTGTTAATGAAAGGTCAAATGGTGCGAAATGGCCTTCCTGCGTGTATGCCTTACACACATTTTCCAAAATCTGAAGCTGTATTTAATCTGCAGGAATTCCCATATCTCCCTCTGCCCTTGACCTTCTGCTGCTTATCTGCCCCCCTTCCACCTAAGCACCCATCTGTAGGCTGTGGTGATAGTTATCTTATCATCACTCCACTAATCTTTAGCAGTGAATTAACTGCGTAATTACTGCTTGCGTCACATTGAATTTTCACAGTGTCACTGGGAATATTTATCTGAGAAAGACCCCCATTTCACCATAAGTCAGAGCTTCAGAGCAACAGAGATCAGTGATGTTGAAAACATTTGCAGGGGAGTGACTAGGCCAAACTCAAACTATGCTGCTGTTAATAAATATTCAAACAGGATTTGTCTGACTGAAATAACCCTAATTCAGCTACCAGATAACTGACTGTAAACTGCATAGTGGTCTTGAATTGATTTCTTAAAGCTTTAAATGTAACTCATACAAGAACAGTGGTAAGGTTTCCTCTAATCTTTAGTTTTCAGTAGTGACAATGAATTGGAAATATTCCTCTGAGAAAGACCCGCATTTCACCAGAGGTTCACTGTAATACTTGTTTCATATATGAAACAATTGAATTATTATTACACTTGCATTACTGTCAGAGCAGGATTGTACTGCAGTTGGTTGCCCTGGAGACCTTAAAGTAAACCTTAAAATATCTGCTTTGACTGGCTGAAGGACAATACCCAAAAAGTATTACGTTTACTGTACTTAAAGAGGTTCACCGTTGTCAAGTCCCTCTTACTAGTGAGAGGAGCATGTTGATATCCATTACTGTGTGCAACAACATACGATGCCTTCCTGATGAACTTCAGGACCATAAATCAGTTATCAAGAGATTCTTGATTATGTTTGTGATCATTTACTAATAGATGAAAGGGTCAATTTGTACTTAGACACAGTAATTGAGTAAGTTTATCAGTTACTTTCCTAAAATGACAGAGATCAAACTCACTATGTTTTTGATCTCTGACTGATGTGAACTGACTTGATGCAGCTGCAGTGGGACAGCGCTGCCCCCTGTTGGGTTTTACTCACATTGCAGGCCTCAGTGTTGTCCTGTCGGTGGGGCAGCAGGAAGGACAAGGCCCTCAGATCTCTGTCACACTCCTCCACCGTCTGGTTCAGCTCCTGGCAGCTGGTCACCACCATGTAGAAGTGGGTGGGGACGGGCAGGGCCTCGGCCGAGACCCTGGACAGAAGAGAGAGTTACACTAATGTACAGCGGCCTGGTGTTTTGTATCTGTTTGTTTGCTTCTTTGTTGATTGGGGAAAGAGAAAAGTGATTTGATTTGATTCACTTTTATTTTGTATTTTGTATCATCCATGCATGTGAAAGTGCATTTTCAACAAAATCAATAATAAACCTTTCAGCCTAATTGTAACTTTATGATGTCTTTCTCATACAGTTGAAGTAGAACATTAAAGGGCCTGTCAGTGTGATACTGGTCAGTTCTTACTCTCTGATCTTCTCCGTGGTGTCTCGCAGGCCGTCGTAATCATTATCAAATATGGGTCCAGCTAGAACGTTGATGCCGTTGTTTTCCTCTGCGTAGCGCCTCAGCAGCGTGCCCTGCAGGTAGCTCCACATTCCTGCAGATAGAAGAAAAAAGGATTAGGTGCTAAAACACAAAGCATATATTATCTTATGATAAGTCTCCTTCCTAAACTCATCAACCCGTTTCACTTCTGATGTAAAGATATCAGGATCAGGAGTGCTGCATGTTAACTGGAGTTTGAACGTAAATGCATGCAGGATGCACTGCAGAGGAGGGGCTTTCAGATCACATCTGGATGTCCTCTGGCTCACATTGTGATCAAATCTCAGCTGCTGTGGGTATATATGGGAATAAAGATACAGAAACATCACATTTGACATTCTCTGAACATTCATTGTTGTTGTTCAGCTCAACATGATGATATATTTTCAGTTTAAAGGTGCTAATGTTTATTTTATTTTATTTAACATTAAATCAATCGGTTAATTTTCACTGTTATTACAGTATATCAAATCCTAATGTTGTGTCAACGGTTTTTAACCTTTAAAACTTGCGGGAAAAAATATCATCTGCATCATCTGTAAAATATAATCAAGTGTTAAATCAGACTTTAGTTCCACCTGGAGTAAATTCACAAGCTACCCTGCAGTATACAAAGTCATTCAAACTAGCTGCACCTTTACCAGCTTTGAGAACACTTTCATGATCAATCATTATAAAACATATCATATATATTATTCTGAAATGGGACGAACTTTACGACCTTTTATGAGCTAGAAATAGAAATGTGTTAATAAACTTTAAAAGACATAAGTGAGACATATCTTTGGTCCTTTAAGGGGATTTTAACTTTCATAATCTAATTTAGGAAACAAAACATATTCTGTATCCTGCAAGACTATGTTCCTTGTTCAACTCAGCACTGTCCGCACACTGATCCTGATGTCATCAATCTACATACAATATGTTCCAGCATTAATAAAGCAAAACTATAAATCCCCCAGACACGCACTGTGTTCCCAGCACTGACGACAATGAGGATTATGTGTATCTGCATGAGACAGCGATTCAGAGAGGGTGTGTTTGTCCTGATAAGTCCTGTCTCTCTGCAGAAACAATGGGTGTCAGGCGGTGCTCGCTCAGACCTGACATCACCACACTCATGTCTCTTTGTCTCATCACACTGGGCGTCGCTGATTTACAGGAAAAGAGAATGCACTCATTAAACTGGTCATCACACACAGCTGAACGATGAGGCACTAACTCTTAATATTGGACAGAAGCACTGCAGATCATACTTTTTTAAAGACTGTTAAAGGTTGTAGCTTGTAGTAACAGACAAACTCACTGATTATAGTATAGCACATGTTGAATTCAACAAGAAACTCACTGATTATAGTATAGCACATGTTGAATTCAACAAGAAACTCACTGATATTTGTGGATGTATGGCTCTTAACTCACAGTTACTCATTTAAGTAAGGGGTTAGTTTTATTGTTTGATGTTCCTGATATTTGACCACTACCAGGTCGTATCTGCAGCGATAAATATCATGTTAATCAGTCTCACATTATGTCAATCCAAATCTGAATATTTGATTTGGCTCGTTGAGGTTTTGTGAACTTTTGCTGGGTCAAAAAGAGTTTTCTTCGATGTATGAAACAGTTACAGTGCTTTTTATGTATGCCCTAATAACGCCCCAGTGCTCCAAGTTTAACCTTGTTGATATATATACTTTTTAAGGGTGTGACTCACTCTTGAATGCAGGGTACATGGGGACCATGTTGGTGATGAGCGAAGCGTCATATCTGGACTCTGGAGAAGATGCCAGCTCTGTGAACAAAATCCCAAAACACTCTTAATACGTGGAAAACAAATACTTTCATAATGCAAACATTAACTCATTGGTTACTCAACGTAACAACACCAGACTGACCACTAGAAGCTCCACACGTGGCGACCTATCAGTCCCATTCAGGAAGAGTACTTTTGGTCAGTCATCATTCTCGGTCACAGCAATACAAAACTGGAACTCTCTACCCACTCAAATCAAAGACATACATACACATAGCACCTTCACAGCTCACTTAAAAACATGGTTCACTGAGAAGTACACCTGCACACACTAGTCTGTGTTGAGTATGGCGTGAGTGTTACATGTTGTGTTACATGTTGTGTTACATGTTGTGATCATGGATGTTGCCCCTCGTTTCTTTTATGTGATTGTGATGTGCTATATGTGACATGTACTGTATGTACCGGTAGTAACGTGTTTTGTTTATTGTTCTCTTTTATCCTCTCTTATCCTTTCGCCTGTATCTACTTGTCTTTCATCCTTTTTATTTTATTTTATATTTTTTTATAACTAATGCTGTTGATATATTGTGATTTTAAGGGTGTCTATTACAGCTGGAAATTAGCCATGTCGGCTAAAGCTGCTCCATTTACTGTTTTTGTGACAGTTCATCGATGGGGACTGTCCACGACACTATAAACAAATAAACTAAACTAAACTAAATTACAGAGAGGCTGTGAACATTAAAGCATCAGAGCTGAATCACTCTGGTACATTTTATTTTTGCTCTGCTATAGTCTCATGACAACATTTTCAAAATGTAATTTACAATTGTCAGTATAAACATTGCATCACATTATAAAAGAATAACAGTAGCTGTTAGTATTTCATAATCAACATATATAATTGAATGCCATAAATAATCTAAAGAAAGGTGTAGCATTGATTGAGTGAGTGCGCAAGGCTTAAGGGGACAGTATAGATTTGTTGTGTGTGTAGGTCTTATCTTCTATTCTTGCATACTACTGGACTCATCAGCCTATGTGTGTGCTCCTCTCCTGCAGGTTTACCTGGAGGGTAGAGGGATCCGTAGGTGAGCTGGTTGTTCTGGCTGTAGGCGGTGCAGCTCTGACTGTGATCAGCTGACACTCTGGGGTCCACTCGGATACACTGAGCCCCAGCAGAGACCACCGGGATGGGAGTCATGTCCTCCTGACAGACAAAAAATGGGAAAGTAAGAGAAAGGAATGTGACAAATATATCTTACCTATTTGGTTTTCATACATTTTGGTGTAGCTCTGCTGTTGCTCTTGTTTAAATCTGCCAGTGTAACCAGAGTAGATCAACACATATCATATCATAATGCAATCTGTAACACTGAATTGTAAAAAAGCAAACATACTAGTGAAGAGCAAACATACTGACATAAAGTTCCTGTTCCTTGTGTGTTTTCTTGTGTACAATGTAGGAGCAATTTCCTTAGTTTATTTTGTATTTGGATCATGAGACTGTGTGGTTTGTGTTTGTAAATGTACTGTATTTATTTATGCCTTCAGGTGGGTTTTTTGCGATTTAAGGAGAAGTGCTGCAGTCTAGCTGCGTGGGTCTGTGAGATGCAAATGTATAAATAAAACGTTATTTTATTTTTTCATCGATTTTGACGGAATTAGCACATCCTTTTATTTTTCAAATCGCATCGGGACCTTCCTTTTGTCTTTAAACAAGCGTCTATTCATCTCAATCAATCCAAGGGTGATACATAAAAAGGGAATAAAGAAACAATTTCATATTATGGTCTACAGCTAACACTTTCAATACAAACGTTTTAATCCACAAGCGGAAATTCAGTTTGTTGTCATACAGTTACTGTTGAAATACACACATATGAGGCCCAAAATAAACACACATGCATTGATGAGGCATTTCGTGTTATAGTCACGAAATGAATTTAATCTATTGATTCGTGTTCACCAACACGATGTTCCCCTTTTTTACGATTTTAAAAGCAATGTATTTCTATTGGTAGTATGTTTCGTGCCTGCACCACGTCTTTTTGTCCGGTCGGGTCTTGGAATACCAGAAGCTGTGTGGTTCATAAAAATATTTTCTTACTCAATATCTTACCCTAAGCCTAACCCTTTTATTTTAAATTGTATAATGTCTGAGTTTTTTTGCCGCCCGCGAGGAAAAGAAATGGCTCAGAGCCTCAGAATACTGACATCTGTATTTTGTCATCTTTTTTTCCTTCTAATTTGTTTTGAAACATACTACCAAATACATTGCTTCTAAAATCGTTCTGTGTCAGAATACTTTAATCTGTATCTGTTTTTCCTTCTAATTTGTTATTATTTACATTGCTTTTAAAATCGTTCTGTGTGACACGAAAAAAATGGCGAAACTGTGTTGGTGAACACGAATCAATAGATTAATTTCGTGACTATAACACGAAATGCAGTGAGACTGTGTTGGATGAGACCCAAATTGAATTCCCAAACTGATACCTCGGCAGTCCCCTGGAGGAGAATTAGTAAGTCTCTAGCTACTAGAACACATTTGTGGGTAATTCTAGCTACTTTTATTTTGTTCCTTGAAGGGACTTGAACCATGACCATCAGGGTTCCTAAGCCAGGCCCCTGCAGACTGAGCTACTGCCTGTGTGTCTCACATGTGAGCAGCTGCAGCTTGTTAACCTGCAGCATGTTCCTGTAAACATGTGACAAACATGTGTGTTCAGGGTCACGGACAGAGTCCGTGTGTTTCTGATGTTTTTGCACACCTTTTTGTTTATGTTTGCATGTTCTTGCACCTCCGTCGTGTTCTGCCCCTACACACACGCTGCCTCTCACTATAAACAACAACAACATGTAACCTGTCATTAACATGGCGTGCGTCACATTTTTACAGCCTGACACCTGGTTTAAGTACAGGAGTCAGGAGCACAAAGAGGTAAAGAAAACACATCTGCAATAACAGAGCTTTCTGGGATTTTTGAACTAAATGCCGTTGCTCCAAGATGCATTTTAGTATTTATTTGACTTCTGATGCACCAGCTTCTTAAGACTTGAAACACACAGATTGATAACCTATCCAAGCCTTTTAGGGCTATAATCATGACATCAAGCTACTGCAAACACTAGTGTATGGCAGCCTGACCAACTTCGTTTTTGAAGAAAACTAAACCCAGAAAATAAACTGTATGTAAGCCCAGGGGATCCCGTTTGTGTTTTTGAAGCCTAATAACACAAAAAAAGTGTGAAAGATATTTAGTTTAATAGAGCTTTTAATGGTTGTGCTTACAGTAGGATAAAACTCCAGGGAATGGTTAGTCAATGTGACGTCAACCTCAGTAAAAACACAAGTGTGTGTGTGTGTGTGTGTGTGTGTGTGTGTGTGTGTGTGTGTGTGTGTGTGTGTGTGTGTGTGTGTGTGTGTGTGTGTGTGTGTGGTGTGTGTGCGTGTGTGTGTGTGTGTGTGTGTGTGTGTGTGTGTGTGTGTGTGTGTGTGTGTGTGTGTGTGTGTGTGTGTGTGTACCTGTCGTGGCAGTGTGTATGCTGTCCACAGAGGCATGGCCAGCTCCTTGCTGTAGCCGCTGATGAACTCCACATGATGGAGCAGACTGTACTGAGTTTCAAACATGATGGCCGGACGACCAAACGGGAGGTGAGTACTGTCTGTAAACAGAGGAGGAACAGTCAGAGAGGACCAAAAGACTCAAAGGAAATAAATTATAATCCAGTGTTTTAGATGATCATATCCCTAATATATGCACTAATCCCCAGGCCTTTACATAAAATGCTGACTGTGATATAAGGAAATGATGCTTCAGTTTTGCAGTGAATACTCAGTGCCTCAGAACTGAAATACAACGTATATAAATAATAATAATAATAATAATAATAACTTGGATTTATTTAGCAAGAAACCCAAGGACGCTTTACAATAGGACGAGGGGCCGTGGGGGGGGGGACAAAAAGGAAAAATATTACAGTAGGTTATAGTGTGGAGAAGGTTACTTTTTCAATGTAACAGGTTACATATTTGGAGTTATCCCTTTCAATACAATGAGTAAAGTATCTCTTAACCACTATCAAGTCATTTTGACAAAACTGATTACCATCAAACTCTTTGTTGGAAGGTTTTGCAGTACAACCTGATTTATTATTGGGTTGTTAGAGCAACAATATGAATGTCAAATTCTCAGTTTAAGCAGAAAATTATATCGTGAGATGCAGTTTGATTAATGACTAGTTTAAATACTTTGTTTTTCTCATAATAGTACCTAGTTACTCCCCAAAACCGATTACATTTCGTACAATTATAATTAAAATTTAAAAAATCGTAAATGTCTGTGGGACTAATAAAGGTATTCTGATTCCTAGAATGTAATACATACTTGACAAAGGGGGGTACTTGCATATTTAGTGGCCTTGCTACTACCAAACTTGGAATAACATTTTCCTGATACTGCTGATCAGTGGTCTGTTCTCCAATAAATGTTATTAATTTAGCCTAATATATAAAATTACAAATTAGCCTTAAAATCTGTGAAGAAATCTCACTCCCCAAACAAAACCTTAAGGATGAGAAGATGGAGTGCTTATTGCAACACTACTGTATGAACACCTATTGATATCTGCAAAGAGAGTGAAGTGTGAGGAAACCTACTGTAACTGTACATCCCATCAGGGGCAGGACTGAAGGCTTCAATCGTCTCCTCCACCTTATTCTGGGACAGAAAAACATAGACAAAAATATGTCAGCTTGTTTTGATGCTTTTGTGCCCTTTAACAGAATAAATATTGATTCATACAGTACAGTTTGAATTGTTTTGTTGGTGTTGTTTCACAGTTTAACATAGAGCTGAAAGTCAGGAATTATTTTAGTGACCTCATCATCACAGCTGCAGCCCAGGTCGTGGGTCGCGACGGTGTCAGGGTCAGCTGGAGACGGGAGGGTCACTTCCTCCGGCATGCTGGGCTCGAACGGAGGATCTTTCAGCATGTCGTTCAGGCTGCCGTACGTCCCGTTGTTAGGGGCCGGCTTCAAGCCTAACAAATCTGAGACAGAGACAGACAGAGAGATGAACAGACGGACAAACAGAAATGTATTTGCGTATCCCATTCTGGGATCAAAGTTTACAGTTTGTTGTAAAACTATTTAGGAGCTCTCTCAGCACATCACACAAGAAATCATGGCCAGTTTAATAGTTTTATTATGGCCTCAAGAGCATCGATGCCGATATTGCATAAAAGGCAAAAACAATATTCTCACCACACATGACGTTGTATAATTCTATATTGTCAAACTCTGGCACTTTTTTCTGGAACTTGAAGCTTGGTCCATGACCCATGAATATGGTCTGTGTGAAGGAGAAAAATACATGTACGTATTAAATACTGAAGAAGAATCAGTCGTAAATATTCATTAAATGAATACATGACAATAGTTCTGAGACTTCAATAAAGAAATATCAGAGCGTAGATCTCAAAAAGACTATCAGTAACCTCAGAGGTATATTATTATATACAATTACAATACATATTATAGTGCAGTATGTAATACAGGAGAGAATAAGAGGTGTACTCAGTACCCTCATGCTGGTTATCTTGTTGTCAAAGCCGTGGTCACCAAAGAAACCGCATCGTGTCCTCAATTTTTCTGGCATTTTCCTGAACCAGAAACATAAATATCATGATTTTTCAACAAAGAAAGCTATTCTTTCTTCAGATGTTGACCTGAGAACAACTGCAAAACATTCAATTCTGCCAATGTTTAACTTAATTTATCCAAAGATCTCAGGAAGTTTCCATTTACCCCAGAAAAATATCCCACTACCCTCAATTTTAAATATGGAAAAGATGTTGGGGTCTTGTGTCTTCACTGATTGAAGTGACACTTGATTTCTTACAAAATAAAAACAAAAAAAACAAAGGAATAGGGTTTAACCATGTAAACTACAATACTTAATGTATGGTAAATAACTACAAAATGTTTTCCCCTTCCTGATACTGTATGCTTATGGTGTTTATACAGTGTGAGATATAAATCCTGATTCCTGGTATAGTCCTGACTCAGAATCAATAGAGTAATGATTTGTTGGTAATTAATCATGACATTTAGCAGAAGTCAGTTAGTGAGTCAGGTTACTTGGCTATGTGCCACTTCCTCTCCATCAGCAGGTGGACGTCCTCGATCCTGCGGTTGTTAGCGTAGTGAAGCCTCTTGGGTAAATGTTGCTTTAGGTACGGCTTGAAGTGCTGCGTCGGCATTTTACACTGAAACAACAAATATAGAAAGGTGAGCGACCTCTCTGTGTGGACAGTTTGAGAAACCACATGAAACATGGTTTGGTTGATGTTAGTGTTGTTGTGGTACTTACAGTGAGGTTTGCAACCACTACCTTTGGGTCATCTGGAGAAGAAAATAGTGTCAACATGAAGACTCTTTACATTTGATGTTTAATGTTGTGTAGAAACTAGTCACTCTTCTTACATGTGGAGGATTTGGGGTCTCGGGGTCGTATTCTGCCCAGAGAGCCGGGGATCAGCTGGATCTCGTCTATGTTGAGTGGGTAGCTGCTGAGGAACTCTGTGCGGTCGCAGTGAGCCTCCTCCATACCTGACAGGCAGGGAAATAGCAATAATCTGTTATTATCAAAGGGTTGTGTTCACCTAAACTTAAATAAAATGTAAAACTGTTTTTTTAGCTCCTTTTCTCTGCTAACATTAATTCATTCGATTTAATGTACCAATATTTTTGGTTTATCTGCCTATGAAAGGTGTGCTGCCTGTTGAAAATACACCCGAGCTGGGACTTGCATGAATTGAAAACGGCAATGAGGCTTTCCAGAAATGTTGTGTCATACTCTGATCTGCAGGCCTCACAGTCAACAGTTGTCAAAGGGACTATTTCTTTGGTAGAACGAGGAAAAGTAGAGAGTTCCAGTAAAAATCATTCTTTGAACTCTTTTGTATTAGATAAACAACGTTCAGAACCATCTTTTTTCTATGATTATTATAACGGTATTAAAAATAGGGAAGGACCCTGAAAGCAATCTCTCTTTTAGAAGGACACCCTGATTACAATAGATATAAAACCAATAGAAGCGCACAGAAAAGTAACATACAACAACAAATGATAAACAGACCAAGGACGTCCAAATAAGAGACATTCATTTATTGAATCGAATCACAGTCACACTGCTCTATGTCAAGAGGGATTATAAAATAATAGTTTATCCAATTGTAAAAGCTTCTGCAGACAGCTGCACAATCTCAGTATAAACATGGAGATATTTTGAAGACCAACTTATCTTGGGACCTAGAGCAGTATGAATTTTATCTCTGGATAAAAGACAAGCAATATATTAGTGAAATGCTGTGTAAATAATTGGAATGCAGTCTTCTTGTAGACTGCCACCTAACTTTCTCATGTAAATAAATCTCACATTCACACATGTTTTTAAAACTGGTCTTACCGTGGTCTCCTACGACGATGACGTTGACACAGCGATGCAGGTTCATCTGCTTCAGGCCGTTCATCAGCTGACCGATGATGCTATCGATCTCCCTGAGAGGGTTATCCAGCTGTAGATAGGATTGAAAAAAGAAAAAGCTGAGATATATTCACACTTGGATCAGCCTCACTGTCAGGTGTCACACTCACCTCACTGCTGAGTGGCCCCAGGCGGTGTCCGAAGGTATCGGGCTGCTCTGAGTGCACGGCAAACACGTACGGCCTGAAGAAACACAGCAGAGACAATATGTTTTTACATTTTTAAAGGGGAGATAGAGGGAATGAAGCATGAAGGGTCCCCAGGCCGGATTCGAACCTGCATCCTCCGCAGCAGGGACACAGTAAGGGGCTGCCAGCTCTACTAGTTGGCTATAAAGGGGCTTTATACGGTCCATTTTGTCCTGATTTTACCTTAAAAATGTGAGGGTGTGAGGGTGTTCTGAGGTCAACATGAAGAGTAAACATGATAAAGCCTCTGCTGAGTTTGCTGTTCCTGGCAGTTGAGCATCTCTCCTGAACTCACACTGAACTGAGACCACTCTCACCACACTATAAAAACCCAGCAGTGTTCACTGACCCAGCAGCTTCTCAGCACTAAAAACAACCTTTATCTCCAAGATACTCTTACCAACTCACCAAGACATTTTAACAGTCAAATAAAACTAAAACTAAACTACAACCAGCAGTCAAAATTATATTCTGAAATTCTGTACTGCTGCATTCAATTGTTTGTTAGCTTGGCTAATTTGGACATTTCAACATTAATCCTAATATTTCCATCTGATTTTGTCATTTACTGAAAGTCACAGCAAGGGTTACTATACACATTTGAAAAATAGATGACAACTTTCTATCTATAAGTACATTCATGTGTGGTTCAATATCATGATTGAAGTCCTTAAGAGTAAAGATCCGGACTGTACCTCTCATCATCAGGCAAATGCAGCCAGCTCAGGATGGTCAAAATCCTTCTCTCCAGAGGAATCACCCTGGAAACACAACATGATGAATGATGGTGGGGAGTCAAAGAAAGAAGAAATAATAAACACTGACCGTTTATTTACAGTTAATACATCTTGAATTAATGTATTTATATATACACATTTGTAAAAAGACCCTCCTCTCTTCATAAACAAAAATGGAAAAAGTGGAGCTGATCTGTGTTAAAAAATGACACTTGAATGAAACTTGTTGTGAGCAGTAAATAAGCCTAATTAATATCCTTAACATTCAAGTATAAAATACATTTTGGTCTTTCGGTTTTCTGTCACGTTGCATTCAAAATAAAATGTCATTTTTGCTCAGTGCGTCAACAAGCTGCTGTTTGAGTCGTCAATGGCTTCTGTTGTGACTGAGAGTGGGGGGGTATTGTCATGTGTCCGTGTGTGTTTGGTTCCTTTGTCCGTCATTCTCAGGATGTTGCCCCTCATGATCATTATGTCACTAATATGTAAATGTTTTTTTATACAAATCTGTCTGTGCACTCATTTAGGTAACAATAGAACAGGGAGACATACTATGTACTGTATACTTAAAATGATACTTTGTAAATTCAACTTTTAGAATATTTAGTTGACCAAACACTGGTCTTAAAAAATATTCCAGTACTAACTTAAGTACCAAGGCCAGAAGAATGTAGCTGCTTTCACTCCTTGTTTCTCTGCTGTGATCCAGATCTGTAAAACAGAACATACGGAGGTTATCAGAAATGAAATGTCCCTTAAGTTAAAAATACCACACTACAATGCTTCACTTTTGAAATCATATTGTTGTGTCTCAATTCCATAGTTAGCTTATTGTGTACAGTAGATGCTATACTGTATAATTACTGTTGTAGTATACTTTCTTGTCCAATTACTTTACAATAAAGCCAATGTCTTTGTTGCTTTCCACTTAAAGGAAATTATGCATTACAGCATTAATTATACCTCAGTGGTGAAATGTAAGAAAGTACATTTATCTAAGTACTGTAAAAGAAAAAAGTGTACTTTTTATGCTGCACCTTTAATTACCTTACAGATTACTTTTACTCCATGTCCAATGAAAACCTATACTGTATATCTTCAAATGTGGTAGTTTTAATGTTTCTGATAAACCGAAGAATGGTGATTTTTCTGAGCTAAAATTAGCACAATTTAAAACATATTTTAAGTATGGTATTTGTACTTTTACTTAAGCAAAGTTTGAATATATTTATTAAGTAGAACTTAAACATTTGGACAAATACAGGCATGGTTTCAAGTTGTGTTTAGCATAGGTAGCTTAGCACAACAACTTGGGGGAACCTGTTAGCTTATCAGTGGTTGTCAACTGGTGTGACAACCGTTTCGAGTGGGTCGCAGATGTGTGAGTGAAGAAAAAGGGGAAAAAAGTCAAACTTTTATTTTGAAGGCCGGATTTTCTAACACTGTGCATGCAGTAGGCGTTGGACTGGAAGTACCGGAGACCATAAACGTCTCTCTTTACTCAGTGCACGTAACACCAAAGCCAAGTCCCACTGAGGCGCCAGTGTGCGTGACACAGGTCTGAGTCTCCGTACTCCTCACAGAAAACGGTTTGTTAGAGGGTGACTAAACACCGTTCTGACACCGAAACCTACGTGGCAAGACGAGATAGCAGCAGCATATGTTTTGATCGTGCTGAAAAGCCAATTCCTGTCCGACAACAGCTGGAGGAACGACAGCACATGAGGCAGGGGACACGTAATGGGGTCCAGGCTTTTCTCTACACACCAACGCTGGAACGCTGTCCACTTGGCTGCAAGACGCTCTGGTAGACGCAGCCCTGGCTCCCTGGATGGTACGTAACATCTTGAGAGAGGCCAAGCCTCTCTAATGGCGCATTTCCATTGCAGGGCCTCGCTCGGCTTAGTACGGTATAGCAGGGTTGCCAACTCTCACGCATCTGGCGTGTGACACACACTTTCACTCTCAATCTTTCCACCTGTCCTGGTTCTGCTGTTGCGGAGGCCTGCTCCCACCTGTCGTGTGCTGCGGTGTCGTGTGCTGCTTGCTGAGGAGACCTTTCACCCCGGGGATACCACGGAGGGACCGGAGCGCTTCCACACTGCTGCTTTCGCCTGTCCTTTGCTGCTGTGCTGATTTGCCCCAGGAACATCGCGGATACTGTGTGCTGGTCTGGGAAAATGGCCCATATCGTGATTCTGCTGTGCCTGTTAACTGTTTTGGACTATGAGAAGATCTCTAGTCATTCTGAGAAGTCTACTGGATTCAGGTCTGTTCTGCCACCCGCAGTGGGCATCCCCTGCAAAGGGTCGGATGTGTTACACAAACAATTACCGGTTGCCTTGTCACAGACAATATGCTCGACAAAATATGTTTGTCTTTTTTGTTTGCCTGCGATGATGGTTCTTCAGGACTGCATCTTAAGCTCAAATCACACTCTCGCAGACTTTTCCGGTGATTCTAAAGTAGATGACAATGTGTGTGTGTCGATTAAGAGGAAAAGATGCCTGGTTTTGTTGTTGTTATTACTGTCAGGAAATGTTCAACCTAACCCTGGTCCGCCCAGTAGTAGTAGTCAGATCGCTACTCCTGCTGATTTTAAAGCTAGGTCTGGGTTGGGTTTCATCCACTTGAATGTGCGCAGTCTGTTAGGTAAACTAGATTTTGTCCGCATTTGGGCAAGCTCGACTGACGCTGACGTCATTGTGTTATCAGAAACATGGCTAAATAAATCTATTTTGGCCTCTGACATATCCTTAAATGGTTATAATGTGTCTCGTACCGACCGGCCTAATAAAGGTGGTGGCGTTGCCATTTATGTTAAGAATAAGTTCAGTGTAACCACATTAGTTTCCAAATCTATCCGTAAGCAATTCAAAGTTTTAGCCTTAAATATAGAAGTGGCAAAGGGTCAACAGGTCATGGTGGTGGGCTGTTACAGACCCCCCTCAGCTGGCAAGGACTCCTTGTCTTCACTAGCAAATCTTTTAATGCAACTAGACTACAAGGAAGTAGTGCTACTGGGTGATTTGAACTGGGACTGGTTAACTGTAGTATCAGAGGATTTTAAAAACCTTTGTATCTCTTTAAATGTTACTCAGATTGTTGACAGTCCTACTCGCCCTAACATTAAGTCCCCTAATAAATCCTCCCTAATTGATCTCATTCTAACTAATGTTCTCTATAAATACTCATCTGTGGCAGTATTTGCGAATGATGTGAGTGACCACTGTGTTGTAGACACAATTAGGGACACTAAGGTCCAAAAGGTTAAACCTCGTATTATTATTAAGAGAGACATAAAACATTTTGTGGAGCAGGGTTTTGTACATGATCTGTTTGATTTTGATTGGGGAAAAATTGATCTGTGTGCTGATGTAGAAACTGCATGGTCTTATTTTTATCTTGGTTTTATGGAGATCATTGATAGACATGCACCCCTACGTAAATTTAGAGTAAAGGGACGAGACAATCCTTGGTTTTCTGCTGAACTGTCCAGTCTCCTGCATGAGAGAAACAAGGCCTGGGCAAAGGCTAGGAAATCAGGCTCAGAGGTAGAATGGCTACGTTTTAGGCAGCTAAGGAATAGCTTCACTTCACATGTCAAAAGTGCTAAGTCGAAGTACTATTTGTCAGTTACTACAGAAAACCTAAATAATCCTAGGACATTTTGGAAAGCCATAAAATCGATATCCACCGGTGGTATCCGAAATGAGCTACCTCCGTGCCTTACCACAGCATCTGGCACTATATCGGACAGGGCTACTATGTTAAATTGTTTTAATGAGCATTTTGTGTCCTGTGGCTCTCTGTTTGATTCTGTCACTAACTCTGCTTCTGTGAACACCACAGTCTGTGACTCTGAACAATGTGGTCTGGAAAACCCTTTCAGTTTTAATCCTTTTACTGTTAATGTTGTTCATGAAGCATTATCTAAGTTAGATCCTAAGAAACCGGCCGGCCCGGACAACGTAGAACCTTTCTTTTTAAAGATAGCTGCAGATTTTATTGCTCCACCTCTCACTTCTCTTTTTAACCTCTCCCTCAGCACAAATGCAATTCCAAAACTGTGGAAGTCAGCGTATGTCTTGCCTTTGCTAAAAGGAGGGGAGGCAACTATTTTAAATAACTATAGGCCAATCTCTAAATTGTCAGTTCTGGCTAAGGTTCTTGAACGCCGAGTGAGTGAACAGGTAAAGGAGTTTTTATGTAAAAATAATATCCTGTCTAAACATCAGTCAGGCTTCAGAAAGAAACATAGCACCATCACTGCCACAATGAAAGTGGTGAATGACATTACGAGTATTTTAGATAATAAGCAGAGTTGTGCAGCTCTATTTATTGACCTTTCCAAAGCGTTTGACACCGTCGATCATCGCATCTTAAAGCAGAGGCTACTCAGTATTGGCATATCCAGTCATGCAGTGGGGTGGTTTCTGAACTACCTCTCTGAAAGGTCCCAATGTGTTCATTTTGATGGGCTGTCTTCTGAGTGGTTAAACATTACTAATGGTGTTCCTCAAGGTTCTGTTTTAGGTCCACTTTTATTCTCCATATATATCAACAGTTTAGGTGAAAATGTGCATGAAGCTACTTTACATTTTTATGCGGATGATACCGTGATGTACTGTGCACGTCCCTCCATTAAGGAGGCGGTTGTTAAATTACAGGCTGTTTTTAACATTATTCAGACTCAGCTCTCTGAACTAAAGCTTCTTTTAAATGTTGATAAAACCAAGGTAATGCTTTTTTCAAAAGCTAAAAAGACACCAGAGCCTGTTTTAGATATTGTTACTATGCAAGGACAAGTACTAGAAGTGGTTGCCTGTTATAAATACCTTGGTATCTGGCTTGATGATTGTCTTACCTTTAAACTTCATGTCAATAACCTGCTTAAAAAGCTGAGGGTTAGACTAGGTTTCTTTTTCAGAAACAAGTCCTGTTTCTCACTTGAGGCCAGGAAAAGGCTAGTCACTGTGACCTTTTGACCTGTGCTGGACTATGGTGATTTGTTGTATATGAATGCACCTGCCCATTGCCTGAACAAGTTAGATGCCGCCTATCACAGCGCACTGAGATTTGTCACAAATTGTAAAGCACTCACACATCACTGTACCCTGTATGCCAAGGCAGGTTTGCCATCACTTACTGTACGGAGGCTCACTCATTGGTACACATTTATTTATAAAGGTTTGTTGGGTAAACTCCCGTATTATATCTGCTCTCTGATAACACAGAGAGTTGCAAGCAGCTATTGTCTGAGATCGCATGATGTAGTATTGTTAGATGTGCCAAGAGCAAGGACTGTCTTAGGTAAGACAGCTTTTATGTGCGCAGCTCCACTTGCTTGGAACAATCTTCAGCAAGAATTGAAACTGAGCAATCTCATTCCTCTGCATGTTTTTAAAGCTAGGCTAAATGAAATGCTCGTTGATACTATGGGTACTTGTAAATGTCTATAACTATGTAAATGTATCCTGTAAATATAATGTATGATGTCCTTTATTGTTTTATGTTTCATGTGGAACCTATATGCTGCAGGTCTCCCTTGAAAAAGAGATCTATGATCTCAATGGGACCATCTGGTTAAATAAAGGTTTGAAATTAAATTAAATTAAATTAAATCTCACGCTCTCACGCTGCCCAAACTATTCTCACGCCAAAAACAAGATGAACCGGCGATCGTTTTTGGTTGGTTATTTACAATGTTGAGTTGACAGCTGCTCAAGCTGTCGATCTGCTCCCTCCCCGCCCCCACCACTCTTAACAACGTTAACAGACAGCAGAGCAGTGGGAGCCGGTTGGTCAATCCCCGACCCGTATTGCGCATGCGCAGATCTAAGATCCAGTAGAAATGATAAAAAGTAAAAGTCTGCTGCTTATTGTTCTACTAGGCCAAAATAGAGTCAAAGAGTATATGAGAGTGAGAGTGCGTTCATTAATATATTTGGCAGTTTGGAGTAAGTCTGTAGATTTGTTTGTGTCTGTGTGTTTCATGTATAGGCCTCTCACGATAATTCATTTTGTTGGATACATTTTCCCGGAAATTATTGCGATAAACGATAATATTGTCGGCACCGTTGTATGACCATTTTAGACCACTGACATAATGATAATATAAAATAATAATTCAAGTACATCCTTTCAAACTGCTAGTCACATCCTCATGTAAATGGCAATTTATCGAGGTCAGAAAAGTTATCGAGTTCATTTTTATTTATCGTACGATAAGTCAATTAATTGCTTATCGCGACAGGCACACAATAAAACAGTGGAAACAAACATGTGTTTGACTTTCATTAGTGAATGAAACTTTGTGCCCTTTATAGTCTGTGTCCAATATTGTGTATTTGTATATATTGTATATATATCATACATATATGCTAAGGTCCCGCTACTGACACGATAACAGTCATTTAGTGCGCATATGTGTAATTAAACCCATGATATCAAAATCTCACTCCAGCCAGGTACCCAAAGTTGGCAACCCTGCGGTATAGCCTTGTTAGGCCTTGTTAGGACTGGCTCACTTTATGCTGCGTTTCCATTACAGTTTAGTAGCTGGGGCAGTAACTATAGTAACGCAGTGTAGGCGGAGCCGTGACGTCATCTTCAATGAGAACCACAGAAAAACAACATCAGCCATTAGCTTTTAGCACTCAGAGCTCACAGCTCCTCATATCTGTTCAGAAACTAGACAAAAGTTAAACAAGTACAAACCACAGACTGCCTGTGTCATGGCGAATACAGTCGCTGGTTTATTTATGTCTGTATAGGCCGTTGTTGTGAGTGTGGACGGTCGGAGCATAAACTGCGTTAGCTTAGCCGATCTCCATTTAGAAAACACGCATTTTAAAAGGTTTTTCGCCTGCCGTCTGTCTGCAGACTTGTCAAAGCATTAATTCATGGTTTTTACTAACCGGTATCAGTATGTTGTTACTTCGGCATCATTTTGAAACGTGTATTACAATTAAATCACGGTCAAATATGTTCATCTTGTTGTAGTTGTAGCCCCCTTGCCAGCGATTCTCTCTCTAGTTTAGCATACTCAGCCCGACTCAGCATGGTTGTTGGCCCGCTAAGAACCTCGATTTTATGGGGCCAGAAAAACTGTGAAATAGTACCCGCTAGCCGGTACTACGCCAAGTGGAAACGCAACCAAAAACGAACCCACAGCTCCGCGCTGTAGTGGAAATGCACCATAATTGTTCCCGTTCCGGGGCCGTGCCCACAGTGCTGGCCTATCACTGGGTGGCTGCTGATCGCTCCCTCCGCCTGGGAGAGAACGTCCCCACGCCACGGAATTTCCCACGGCTATCAGGACCGCAGGAACTGGTGGAAAAAACGTATAACAGCACCCTGGGCCACGGCCGATGTGTGAACGCGTCTACCCCCAGAGGGGGGTGATCCTGCGCTCTGCAAGCCCATCTGTTCACTTCGCCAGGGGATATACATTGCTCTGATGGAGAGCAACGTGTGTGCGCGCCCAGAACAGCAGCCATCTGGCTGCGTTCAGAAGCTGCGCAGATCGTACTCCTCCCTGGCGATTGAGGTAGGCTGCCGTGGCCCTGTTGTCTGTGCGAATCAACACATGTTGATTGTACAGCAACGGGGCGAAGTGCTGGAATACTTTCCAAAACGGAGAGCAGCTCCAGCACATTTACTTCTGACGCACAGGGTCGATGCACAGGCAAATGAACCACCTCTGGAGTCTCCTACTGTGGAGGAGACCCAGGGGCATCACCACGTGACCAGCTGACGTCATGCTGAGCAGCTGCATCACGGAGAGGGCTGTCACCACGCTGCGGGGTGTGACACACCGGAGGAGAGCTGTCAGTTTCTCCACTCCACAGGACCTTCCTTGCAGATTCCGGTATAGCCCCCTGCTGCAGCCAGAGGTACCGCTGAATCTGCGTCGCCCACGCCGCAATCCTTGCACCCTGCTGTGCACACAGGGTGAGTGCCGTGCTGGCAGCCTTGCCTATCTCCTCCGAAGCCTCGGAGGGCATGGAGGGCTGCTCTGATAGTCTCACTATGGAGTGAGACAGCAGAGCGATGTTGTTCGCCACTGCAGACACCTGGAAGGCACACTGGTGCATCCGGTCAGTCTGGCGGACGACAAACTGGTCCCCGGGGGAGGACAGCAAGGGACGCCGTCCGGCGACCGTGCTGGCCTGCTTCACCCCGAAAAAAGCCGTCAGGTTCGGCTCCAGGGGAGGCGCGGTCGGAAAACCAACATCCATCAAGCCCTCCACTTTAGTGAGGGGGACGAATGAGGACACCGGGTCACTCCTGACGGTCTGTACCAGGGAGAAACAGAGCTCTCCTGAGCCGGGGGAACGAGGAGACCTCTCCAGGCGGCTGACTTTTCGATGATCTCCGGCAGTTCCTGCAGGATCCCGCCTATCGACGGCAGAGCCGTGATGGCAGAAAGAGGGACCGCGGGTCACGCAGCTGGGCCAGGCCGGCACCGGGCTCCATCTCTGTCTCCTCCGTCCGGGGGAGAAACGGGATGGGGGAACCACACGGTGATCCGTGGATGGAGGCGGGGTAGGAGTCGTCCGACTCCTGCCCAGCACTCGGATCCAGGAACTCAAGGGATTGGTCCATGGAGTAGGACTCCTGGACTCCCAATCCTCCTCCTCGGCCGCAGTAGCGAGAGCGTCCGCTCTTCGCTGTCTGTCGGCCAGAGGGAGACGGGCAAAATGAGCACATGACCATCGTGAGTGCCGGTCATAACTCATTATGAACCCCGTCTGGCATGAGGAGCAAACTCTAACACAACCCTGTGTACTCATGTTTAAGGATATTTTTCGAGGTGGCTCTTAAAAGAGCCTTTACTCTTTAGTGTCTCTACAGTGCTTCAGTACCGGGGTGCTGAAGAAAAGAGGGAGCAGATTGTCGGGCCTCCTTCCTATTTATACTGGAAGTGAGTCCGAAGTGAGTCCCTCAGCCATCAGCAGAGCTTTGACTCGCTGTTCCGGCCCAACACCGTCACCATGACGCTGTGATGTTAGACACTAAAGAAGGAGAACTAAACATTGCAGACTGTCAGACCCACTGCAGTAGAATAAGAAGTTTTCTTTTGGAACTCTGGTGCTGGAAATATTATTGATTTTGACCAGAAGGATTGCCAAAATCAACACAAAAACATACTAATTTTAACCAAAACTATGATAATATATTTCCTAGACCAAATAGTGCTTAATCCTAATTTTCAGTGCTGCGCTGGTACGCAGGGGACTACCCAATAGCGATAGCCTTAGAGGGCGCTTATAGAGGAAGCCTACACAAAATTGAACTGAGCCTCCGTCTGTGCGAACCATGCTGCCGCGGACGTCTCCCAAAACTCCGGCAGTTTGAGAAAAACTGCGTTATTTGCAGGGGTGCACATAACTGGTACGCAGGTACGCATGCGCTGCAACAATCTGAAATGTGTACCGTTACTTGTGTCACAAAGCGCATTTGCGTACCGACGTACCTGCGCTAAAACAGCTGATCACAATGTTCACACGTTCTGCGGTCACGAAGCTCTGTACTCCACTACCACCCCCCCCCCCCCCCCGTTGACAATCGCGAAGCACTGTACTCCACTACCACCGCCCCCCCCCTTCCCCCCCCCCCCCCCCCCCCGTTGACAATCGCGAAGTGCTGTACTCCACTACCCCCCCCCATTGACAATTGCGAAGCGCTGGACTCCACTACCACCACCCCCCCCCGTTGACAATCGCCAGAAGTTGGAGTACCAAACACTGACTCCAGGTCCTGAGTACCTCACTGAGAAAGTTGTGTGCACCCCTGGTTATTTGCCATGTTCGGTTCAGTCTCGGATACTTCCACAAGACTTATGTCGGGGTCACCAATGTAGTGCCGAGAGACGTGAGTCAGAGGTGGTGTGTCAAAGGACAAAGCTAGTCTTTTATTCCACATGAAAACAGCATGTAAACAAACTCAAGCCCGGGAAAACTGACCGGCCAAAACAGGAAGTCCTGTTAACTAAAATGTCCGTGCGGAACAATACCCCCACCCATAGTTCCGTCGGTGAATTATGTAAACCCACCACACAGGCCTATTATTAGCATAGCAGTTTTGAGATGCTATTTGTACCCAGCTTCTCAGTCAAAAAATATCTCCAATTCATAGTTAACTGATTCTGAATCAATATGTACATTTTAAGTGATTTAGCGCTTTAGGGTTTGTTAATTTAACATAATTTTTAAGCTGTTTGAATTAGTGAACTTTTACAAAGCTATGCTGGCAGCTTTCCGATTATTACGGGCACTATGCTAAACTGGTCTAAACTGTGTACTTAAAGCAGATATCAATGTGATATTAGTCTTTCTATGAGTCAATAAAGGTTGTGAGAAACAAAGTCTTAGTGTACATTCTTCCTTAACAATTTTTTTGTTAGCCGCCCTGATTATAACCCATGATAAGCGGTTAACTAGAGTGTACTCACAGGCTGTCCGCCCCACCAGCGGTGGTTCAGTTTCTCCCTGGAGCGCAGGCTGAAGGTGGCATTAAACACTGGATCATGCATGGTGTTTCCCACAATGCCATGAGACTCCGGGTACAGACCCTACAAACAGATAACACATAGTACTTATTTTAATGTTAAATATCAGTCTTGCATCAGCATCATATGCTTTGCTGTTGGACCTTTTGAACAGGGCTACTATTGTTGAACGACATAACCAGTGGTTACTTACTGTGGCTAGGGTGTATAAATTTGGGAAGGTCTTTGTTGGGTAGACCGGTCGCATGTAGGGTGCTGACGTACCACACGCACCTAAAAGGACAAATGTCATTTTTTCAAATATAAACTTTCTAAAACATATACAAGCAAATCAAAATGGTCCATTAAATAATAAGTACAGTAGGATAAAGCTATATACTGTCATGCAGGGTCCAGATTTGTCTTCGAAACATCTGAGGTCGATTGTCCTTGTGGCCTAGACCTTGCAGACATCAGTATCAGAGTTTACTGTATTTTGTACACAATCAGTTGTGGTTTTATCAGGCTGGGGAGACAGAGGATTATTCTGATGCTGGGTGACTCAAAGCCAATGGTAGAGGCAGACACCAAGGGGGAGTTTAGGTAGATAAACTAGGGCGTTTTCTTCATCTGTTCATGGAATCCTCACGTGGTAGTGGGCATATGGGGAGGAGGCTCTAATGTCCCTCGTGTTTCAAACTTTCTTCAAGAAGGGGCTAATGTGGTTTTCTTTCAAGATTTCTGATATGTTGTGGTCTAGTTGTTCCTCTGATTCCTCTTGTCTCCTGTTCTTGACAAAAGGAACAGATCGGTGACGTAGGACGCAAAATAGATTGGAGGTAAGTTGTTGAGGGACATAGTTGACCTGCTTTGAATGATATCAGCCCCTTACATGACCTTTATCATTGGTTATCAGCTTTCCAGATAGGTGATAGAAGGGACCCAAATTAGCCATTTCTGCCACCTTTGACCTTAAGTTGGTGATACAGCAAGAGGTGAAGAGCTCTGAGACCTTGAGCAACAACACTTCCCTCAGCCATCAGCAGAGCTTTGACTCGCTGTTCTGGCCCAACACCGTCACCATGACGCTGTGACGTTAGACACTAAAGAAGGAGAACTAAACGTTGCAGACTGTCAGACCCACTGCAGTAGAATAAGAAGTTTTCTTTTGGAACTCTGGTGCTGGAAATATTATTGATTTTGACCAGAAGGAATGCCAAAATCAACACAAAAACATACTAATTTTAACCAAAACTATGATAATATATTTCCTAGACCAAATAGTGCTTAATCCTAATTTGTTTCTGAAATGCGTTGTTATGAGGTCAAAGTGATTTCTCATATTTTATTCTTTGAGATTGGCTAAGCAAAAGGGTTATTGGGGAAAATACTATAGCAGTGCAAACCTCATCCTACTTGTTCCAGGGTAAAGGATTTAGGCTTTGTGTCAAGAGAGTTCCAGACAAGAAGAATAAGCCTACTTGAGATTGATTTCCAGAAAGAGAGCCCTCCTGTTTCTTATAAATTGGTACTTTAAAAAAACATTATTTTTCCATTATGCTGAGAGGCGTGTGGCGCAGTGGATAGAGCCTTGGTGCCTTGGTGTTGGGACCAGGGGGTCACAGGTTCAAACCCCACTGCAGTCAGCATGTCGTTGTGTCCCTGAGACACTTCACCCCAAATTGCTCCTGTGGGGATTGCCCACAGTATTGAGTATGTAAGTCGCTTTGGATAAAAGCGTCTAACAAGTGACATGTAATGTCATGTATTGTTTTGAGCGGTAAAGTGGTATTATTCCAACACAACTGTATAACATAGACAAGAGTTTTTTAGTCACACAGCTCATGTGTTGGATTCAGAAAACGATATTATGAGACAAAGTCAAGAGTACGTACTGAGTTTATGTATGTTGGGGGTGACAGAGTTGCCCTTCTTCAGGTAGGATGCTCTGAACCCGTCGACAGACAGCATGATGAGGGGAGGTCGGATGAAGCTATACACAAGAAGGATGCAAAGATAAAATTCACCATTGGCAATATCTGTATTTTGGATGTAATTAAGGTTATTATTCTTTACTTTTCATTAAAGAACTCCTATCATGCTATTTCTAGTCATATATTATGGGTTTCAGATATATAAAAATATATATAAATAACATGTCTGTGATGTATTTTGCTCAGAATATCAAACAGATCACCCTCTCTAGCCATGCCTCATATCCCTCTAGTCAGGGGCGGACTGGGACTAAAAATCATCCCGGGCATCTCGACCGGCCCTCATCGGTACCAGTAGTAAGTTGTCAACAGTATGGGGCTCAAATGCTTTTTTTACAAAACAGCTTGGGTAAGAGTCAAGCCAATGGCCAAGAAACAAGTGATTACGTTCTTTTTGACTTACTTGTATCTTTAAGGATAAGGATGGTGGTACTCTATATTCTTCGTAATATCAACAAGTCCATGAAAAGATCAAAAGCAACAATTTCTTACACTTTCTGTGCCACTTAGTCCATTTGTATTTATAAAATTGAAACAGCTAAAAACAGTTTCTTTAAAAAAGAAAAAGGATCAGTCATTTCCTCAAGTAGTTTATTTTCCTGCTTTTTTACTCATACTCTCTCCAGTACAGCTTAGCTCTGAGTGTTAGCGATGCTTGCTAATGTAAACAAAGACCATATTACGTCCAAAACACGTTGCGCATGGTTTCTGATACAGCAATGTTTCTGATAGGGCTGTGGGTGTAAAGCCAGTCCACACTTCCGATATTACATGGCTAATCTGGATTAGCTCTGATGTACTCCCCGTAATGTGGGTACGGAGGAAAAGAGAGAGGGTTTTGTTCTCTGACACTTTGTGAGTTCCCTGACACTCCGAGGACACATGTTTATGTATAAAAGAGATCAAAAAGTACATTTTGCATGATAGGAGACCTATAAATCAAATTGGATAAATGATACTAAAGGTCTGATGTGTCTAATATGGACTTGTTAAAAATAACAGTTTTCTTAAGACTTCAATTAAACACACATTCTTGAGTTTAATTGTTGAGTTTGACGTCAGTTCAGACTCACCCCGCAGGACATTCTGCCGTGTTGATCTCCTCACAGTCTCCGTGCACCCATGTTGCCTCACCTCACATGGAAACAACAGCTCAGAGTAATTACCTAATTTAAATCCCATTCATTCTCAATTAGTTGTACAATGTTTTATAGACACAAATCATGATAAGTACCTGTGCAGAGTGACTTATAGTTGGAGCAGCAGTCTCCTCTCTCCAGGCAGTCCTGTGAGCAGTGGCAGGCGTGCTCGTCATTCCTCTCCTCCCCGCAGCGATCCTGCATGCACTCGAAACCTCCCGCTGAGACACATATGACAAACATCAACAATGAATACACTGTGAATTACATCTCAGGCAGCATGTCTGTAGCAGTTTTACAATTACAAGAGAAGCAGACGTAATTTGAAACAAGAAGGGACTGTAGAATTCATTTGGAGAGATGTTAAGTATTTTTGTCTTGGATAATGTCCCACTGTTGTTTGCTTAATGTTTTCAAGATGAAGCCACAGTTACACTCTCTTCCCCAGCCAAGGTCTAAATTAGCATCAGATGCAAATTGACATTTTGGCAACTTCAGGACAGTTGCCCTTTGTTCATGTTTAATCAGCTACAGCAGAAAGCACGTATCATGTTATGTGCATAGAGTTTTCTTAGGACTGGAGGTACTGTAGTACTGCTGTGTAGTATTCCAAACAAATGTAGTAATTGTATCACTTTACTTCCACTACTGTTTACTGTCACAGATAATATGAGGAATAACAGCATCGATAAATGTGTACTCTAAATGGGACCATAATTTAAAAAGACTAAGAACTCATGTTTGAGACTATAAAGTCAGGATGAAGTTAACTTTCCTAGGATAATTCAAACGAGAAATACATTTTTACATTTTCTCATAGACTTCTATAAAACCAGATTTTTATTTTACAACCAGCGGAGTGGCTCCCTGCTGGATATTTGGAAGAACGCAGGTTTTGGGACAAATATTTAGTCTTTGACTGGACTCGAGTCGACCCATTGCCGTTCAATGGAAGACTTACGGAATCCTATGATCAGCAACCTAACAGATCTGCCCTTTATCAAATGTTAAGCTTGGTTTATGTTGTCGTTTTGCCACCTGCCATTATTTTCAAATAGTATGGTAATTGACGAAGGTTTTCAAAGAATCTCTGTTATGTGACAATCCGTTTTTTAATGTCACCTTTAAGTATCAGCTCATCTCACTTGATACTAATGCTGAGGAGTTAAAAGAATACCAGGTGCTATCCACAACTTTTTTCTGGTAAACCAAAAAAATAGTATATCCAGTTGCAACGCAGTGAAAACATAACTTAATAATCCTAAAAAACCATGCAAGCGACCTACTGCACCAAATGGATTGATTTGCTTGAGAAAAAAGTCCCTTAACTAATAAACTACTTTTACCTGATTGAATAACTTCTGCCAAAAACTACTTGAGGAAATGACTGATCCTTTTTTGTTTTAAAGAAACTGTGTTTTTAGCTGTTTCAATTTTATAAATACAAATGGACTAAGTGGCACAGAAAGTGTAAGAAATTGTTGCATTTGATATTTTCATGGACTTGTTGATATTACGAAAAATATATAGTACCACCATCCTTATCCTTAAAGATACAAGTAAGTCAAACAAAACGTAATCACTTGTTTCTTGGCCATTGGCTTGACTCTTACCCAAGCTGTTTTGTGATATCATGCTAGTGATATCAAGCATCCATGTCGGAGGATAACATGTTAACAGATGTGAAACCAGAAGAAGCGATTGTGACATCAGGCTGACCTGTTTTGAGGCACTGCTCGTCGAAGTCGGAGCAGCAGCTGATGTAGGTTTTACACAGATTGTCACATCTGCATCCTGGAGGTTCGGCTTCGTCCAGCTCAAAGCACCTCCCCTTGCAGGAGCCCGCTGAGCTGACCCACTCTGAGATGACTGGAGAGAAGAGAGGGGCATGGTTACACACAACTGCTGCAAACAAACTCTATTTGTCTGCGTAACATAAATCTGTTTTACTCAAGATTGTACATAAACCTTACTTGACAAAAATACGTTGGCATCTTACATTCATGTATGTACAGTACACAGAGTATTCATGCAGGGTAAAGGCCATTAAATCTAAACAGCTCATAAAGCAAATAACTACCAGCTGTTTTTCGAAACACTCTGCAGGCAGCCTTTGGTTCCAGTTCACTTCAATGCACAATGGACCAACAGAGAGCTCAATAATATTGTTTTTGTTCTCTCAAAATGTCAGTATAGTGGCTGATTCACATCAGATCATTTTTATTTCACACTCGTGTTTGCTTAGTTGTAGTGTCCTGGATTATGTATTGTTTTTCATCAATTTAGCTATGGTATTCTGTAGCACACTTTATATGCTAAGATTAAAATAAAATGCTCGGTCCCTGTTTGCAAGTATCACATGAATGGAATGGAATATTTGGAATATACAGTATATTTCAAAGTGTACTTATACTGAATGTTAGGTACACTAACTTTTCAAGACTACAACACGTAAACAACCATGACCATGTTGGGGATCTCCAACATATATGACCAGTTTTATTTCACTAAGTAGACATTTGTTTGAAATGTATCATAACAGCACATTGGGTGCTGTTCTCACCTTTAGTGTGGGTGGGTGGGTTGTCTCCCTCTGAAGGTCTACTGGCTTGAAAAACATAAGCTCTGCTGACATCAGTACTCCACAGACAGAACACAACCACTACCTGCAGAAAAAAACACAGACCACACATTAGAAAAACGAACAATAATTGATGATTTATTCACTCCAATGAGCACAAATGTTAGCATCTGAATACAATACATTTAGAAGGGCGCTATGCTTTTAGGGTCTTCCCTTTCCTGTAGTGTGTAATATAGGTTTTTGTGCATGTAAATGGTCTGTAAAGGCTAAAATCCCTGTGTTCCCTCAAGGGGGAGTTTCTCTCGCACACACCCCCCTTGTGAGTGAAATGCCTCCATTAGACTTCTTTGTTTACTTCTGTAACATAATGACATAACTATGCAACACTCACGCTTCTATTCACTAGCGCTCCAATACATGTTACGTGACAGACTGAGGGTCGTGACATCTCTTAGCAATTGATCGATCACAACAGAGCCAGCCAGCTAACCAATCAGAGCAGACTGGGCATGTCACAGTTGAGGCACTAAACATAAATGTGAACCTACAGTCACATACGGTGGTTATCACAGGTAATGAAAATTGCATCCCCACCCGCTCAAACATACACACATAAATTGAGTCCCAAATTATTTCTTCTAATTAGCTTTTTGTCAGAAAAGAACATTGGGCTCACAAATAACCCTTTTCCACCAAAAAATGTTTCAGTGTAGTTCCATGACGGGTCTAGTTTGGTTAGCAATTGGTTCAACTTGTTGCAACAGCGTGAATATCCCTCACAACAACACCAACGGCATAAAAGTTTGAAGCTGCTCATGTTGCCAATGAACTTACGAAGCTAGACTGAATTGCAAGCAACATTTCTCCAACTTTATACGTTTCTCCAGAGTGAATGGCTAATGCTATGCCACAATAGTTCAGCAAAATTTGCAGACTGCCGAAGTTGTACGTCGCTCAGGAAAACAACTTCGCAATCAGGTACTGGCTCCAGACCGACCCTTGAACCGCAGCAGTGGAAAAGCTGGTTTTTGGTTGACAACTAAATAACAAGTATAGTGGGCGAAAGTAAATTATTACTTAATTGTTGTGGGTTTCATAAGAACATTTTATAAATAATGTTTGAAGGTTTTCTCATAAATAAATATAAAATAGATATTATAGAGGAAATTATGACTTGTTTACTAGCTCTAAGCAACTTTGTATACATAACTCATGCCAAGATGGTATTTTTATAAAAGCAAAAGTTGAAACCTAAACATTTTCTTTTGTAATCATTTAAATCGGTTGTATACATGAAAATATCCTATAGATGATATTTATAAAGAAAATAATTATAAAAAAATGGTAAAAGTACATTTCAAACTGAGTATGCAAAGGTTGAAATTAATTATCTTGGATGAGGGGCCTGTTTTAGGAAGTGTTGTCGTCCTGTCCTGATAATGTCTTTGAAGTACATTTTTTTTGGGAGTTCAAACCCAGAGTTGGTTCAATTCGCAACAATAATAATGGAAAGTAGGAAATATTCACATTTAGGTAACCTGTGGGTGTGATGATAAAATGTTTCTTTGAAAGATTGTTTCATTATGAATCTCTTATTCATCAAAGCTCTAACATTGAGTATGACTGTTACGTGCCGCAGTTGGTGCTTGTGTGTGTGTGCTTTTGTGTGTGTCTCTCTCTCTCCCTGATTGTCTCCAGGTGCAGCCTCTCCCCCAGGTGCTCCCAATCCCCAATCAGGGCCTCCTTAAAGGACCTGAGGAAGGCTGCAGTGGCCTCTCTCCTTCTCCTCTGGCTGCATGGGTGCAGCACGGCGTCTTCGTCTCTGTGTGGGACCTGTGTTTTATCATTTACTACGATATGTGTTCCAGCATATATTGGTACCATAGTTTACTTTGCAAGTTGGCTGGTGAGCCCGTTTTCTGTTTGTCTATCATTGGTTGATTAAACCTCATTTTGTGGCTTCAGAGATCAGTTTCCTCTCTTTTCTCGTGCCTGGTTGTTTCTGTGTTTTGTTACTCCCCTTCGTACCCCTAGATTTGGAGGGAACGTAACAAATGGGGGCTCGTCCGATCTTTGAGACAGAGTGAGTATTTGATTGTTTGTTGTTTAGTGTTGATATTGTGTTTGGTGGTGAGCAGTAGTGTGTGTGTGTATATAAGTGTAGCATTGGCTGTGAACAGCTTCCTCAGTTTAGACAGGGGAGTGTCTAGCTGGGCTGAATCAGTCCTTCCTTCAGGCACTCATTTATTATTTTGCCTTTTTTATTTTCGGGGTAATCCTGGGTGGGGATTTAGTCCCTGTTGGGGGCAGGCGTTTCAGGGTTTCGGCCGCTGATGTTTGCCTTTAAAGTCGCCTCGAGCCCGGCATGCTCCAGACGATAGGTAGGTAAGTTGTGGTAGGCAGGATCTGGGGAAGCTTGTTATTTGGAAGAGTCGATGTTTGTGTAGCCTCAGATATTTTGCCTGTTGAGTGAGGTGATTTAAGTGGGAGTGTTGAAAATTAGTTTGTGTGTTTTAGTATGGCCTCCCTTGTGTTGGGTGAGTCCTCTCATACTGGTTCTAAATTAGATGCCAGGTTGAAAGTGAGGTTAGCTCGTCTCCAGTGGGAGAAGGAGGAGCGTGAGCGAGATTTTCAGAGGGAGCTGGAGATCAGAAAGTTAGATGCAGACACAGCTTTCAGGATGCGTCAGCTAGAGCTGCAGACAGGTTCAGTTGGTACCTCTTTGGGTACACAACCATTGTCAGGTTCTACTACTGCTTTTGATGTTGGTAGCAACATTCAGCTGGTCCCTGTCTTTCGTGAGTCAGAAGTGGAGACCTTCTTTGGTGCATTTGAGCGCATTGCTGCTGCTCTGCGCTGGCCAGAAGATGTGTGGGCCATACTTGTACAGTGCAAGGCTCAGGAGGCTTGCTCTTTTCTTTCTGTCGAGGATTGTATGGTGTATGACAATGTGAAAGGTGCTGTTCTCAGGGCATATGAGCTTGTGCCTGAGGCCTACAGGCAGCGTTTCCGCAGCCTGAAGAAAACTTCTGGCCAGACTTATGTGGACTTCGCGAGGGAGAAGAAAATCCTCTTTGACAGGTGGTGTAGAGCTTGTAAAGCGGATGACATTACCTTAATGTGTGAACTAATGATGCTGGAGGAATTTAAAAACTGTGTACCAGAGCGTACTGTAGTTCATTTAAATGAGCAAAAAGTATCTACCCTTCAGCAGGCTGCCACTCTAGCAGATGAGTTTGCATTTACACATAAAAGCGTATTTTCTCAGCGTGATCCCCCTCATCAAGAGCGTGATCCCCTCAGCGAGATTCTTACCATAGAGCTCGTGACACATACGTCCCCCGTGCCAGTTTTCCAGTATCAGGTCCCAAGCTAGAACGTAACAATGACACACTTATGTTCTTTTCTCTGGGAGGTATCTTTCTTTAGAAGATAAAGAAGATGACGCCGTTTGAGAGAAGGCAAGAGCCCACAGAAATATGTTTTTGGTTACAGCACAGATTTAAACTGAAATGATACAGATGTTTGCTGGTTGTTCACTTAAGAAACTGTGAAGGAGCCTGAGTTCATTGAACCTCATGGTCTGCAACAAGCCTCTTCTGCCTCATGACAATTAATTGGATGTGTAAAGGCAATAGCCGTTTAGCCGTATGGATTAGTGAAAGCCACAGCTGAACTGCTGTCATAAAGGAGTGTTTTAAAGATGTTGAGCGAATTAAGATGCTTTAACACAGAGTGGCAGAACTTCAGTGTTAGTATTATTAGATCTCAGTGCTGCATTTGACACTGTTGACCACAACATATTACTAGACCGACTAGAAAACTGGGTGGGACTTTCGGCAACAGTTCTAAATTGGTTTGAATCCTACTTAAAGGACAGAAAAAACGTTGTTTCTATTGGTAAATACACATCTGAGTTGACAAATATGACGTGGGGTTCCTCAAGGCTCCATCTTGGGGCCTCTTCTCTTTAACATCTACATGCTACAACTGGGTCAGATAATGAAAAACAACAAAAGAAGTTATCATAAATATACAGATGGCACACATATTTACATAATCCTTTCACCAGGAGACTATGCTCCAATTCAAACACTGAGTAAGTGCATTGAACGCATCTAGGTGTAGTCATGGACTCTGACCTGAATTTCAACAGTCACATTAAAACAATTACTAAGTCTGCATACTATCACCTTAAGAATATATAGAGGACTAATGTCACAGCAGGATTTGGAAAAACTTGTCCATACTTTTATCTTCAGTAAACTCGACTACTGTAATGGTGTCGTCACAGGTCTCACTAAAAAATCTATTAGAAAGCTGCAGCTAATTCAGAACGCCGCTGCTCGAGTCCTCACTGACACTAAGAAAGTGGATCACATCACTCCTGTTCTGAAGTCTTTACACTGGCTTCCTGCCTGTCAAATAATGTATTTCAAAATACTGCTGCTGGTTTATAAAGCATTGAATGGTTTAGGCCCAAAATACTGTGAGGAAGCGCACACACTTCCTCACTAACATTTTGACTTAACAATTTGTTTGTTAAGAAAGGTAGTACATGTTTCTTCAGAGTTGTCTTTATTTCAGTTAATGTTATAAAAACAGTTTACATAGAAAAACTAGTAAAGTGCATCTAAATTAATTTGTCAGTCTATAAAACACACAATCACAAAGTAATCACCATTTCCTTTGTTCAGACCTGGAAGCCATTTTGTGTCACTGCTCAAAGGGGGAGCATGCCTCCAAAGTACTCCTTATATGTGCTGTATGAGTAGGCGGAGTCTTGGACGTGATTGGTCAGGAAATGTGTGATTTTATGAGTGTCAATTAGGTTAAAAACTATCCGTTTTAAGCAGAACTTGTTGTTTTTGAAGGTACAATGTTTATGTTGATGCAATTATGAATTTACTTAAGCCTTTAGGATTGTATTAAATATAGACCACAGTGTTTAATTTTGTATTTAACCCTTCACTCCGCTTTCAGAACAATGACCTGATTGGCCAGGTTGGATTGGGAAGGCGGGCAGTCTCCTATAAATGTGGTTGGGAAGAGAGGGGAAAGGGGATTTGGTGTTTGTTCCTT